AATCTATAGTTTTCAACAGTACTATAGAACCCATTAAAAAAATAATACAGGCCAATGACACCAATATTTAAAACAAACAAAAAAATACTATTAATTTCCTTGGGGAAAAAGACATTTTTTAATTGAGCAAACAAATATTATTTGAAAAAATTTAAATTATATTAAATTTTTGTTCATTTTATTTTACGTTACAATTTTTACATGTTATTAATTCTCTTTTCTCTTAGATATACTATCAAGGGGATCCATAACCTGATCTTCTACGGGTTGCCCATGTACCCTCACTTCTACAGTGAAGTTTGTAATATGCTTCAGGCTGGTGTCAGAGAGGGTGGTGGTTCTGTCAGCTTCACCTGCACGGCCCTGTACTCCCGATATGACATGCACCGTCTGGCTGGCATCACCGGGGCCAACCGCGCCGCTCAGATGCTGCAGTCCAAAAAAACAGTGCACCTTTTCATCACAGGGGAGGAGAAAAACACATGAAAGGGGTACTGTGAAAATCGAATGTGACATTTTCAACCTCTCAGACAAAGAAAGTATTTCCCTTCAATTAAAATTTAGTCATTTGCCTGAATGTAATGTTGTTCTCATGTCTTTGTTTTTTTTTAATATAAAGTCTTCTTTCGCTGTATTCACAGCCCAGATCTTTGGCTCCAATGTGTTTTTTTTTATTACTTTCAAAAGGGTTCAATAATAAGAGAAATTCTGACCAGTTGAAGTGTCACCTGTCTTGTCAGAAAAGTGTTACATTGTCACTGTGACTTTGACATTGATAATATACATTTGTTTTGTACATTTGTAAATTGTAGTTTATTGAAAGTTGTTGTAAATTGCGTTGAGCAGCTAATGCTAATATGCACTCTCCAAGAGATCTTAGGATTAAATCTCCTTTAAAGTTGATGCTAAAATATGGCAAAAGTCATCATTAAAATAGTTAAAACAGTTATACCAAATATCACAAAAATACACCGAGAGCTGCAGTTAAGCTCATTTTGAAAGTGAAATAGATGAATTTGGTGTAGTAATTTCAGAATCACTGCTTTTTATTGTGGCTTGTTAAATGACATGAGCAAGAGTTCACCTCTAATGATCATGCTGGAAACGACTGTGATTCATCTAATTACCTCCCAATGTGACGGTTCTGTATGAAGTGGAACGTTTTATAATTTGGTTTTAAAGTCACATTGTCTCTCAAGCTCCCCAGTGATCAGATGCGCTCTTTTTTTCTTTTGCTTTCTTTTCTTTGCTCGGTTTCTCTGACAGTTGGAAAATGGAGCAGCTGTTTCACACACACTCTCTCTTTCACAGATGTGCACTCTGTCTCTCTGGAGCTGGCACACATATACACTCACGTCATAAATAATGAAAGAAATGAGTGTCAGTTGTTTGGTTAAGGCCAGCATCTGACTATATCAAACAAAACCATTGATCCATCCAACAAATCTCCTCCCAGTTTTTTTCCCTGAACACACAATCCTGCTGAGCTGCCTTTTGAATTCTCTCTAAAACTCCATTGGGATTCATCTGCTGACCTCTGAATGCTCACACAGTGATGCCACAAAACAATATTCCTGCTGAGCTTGCATATTAGTATCATCTGTATCATTATAGTGCTCCAAAACTAAGGAAATGTATCTAAATAAACTCTCATATGTATTGTTGGATGGATTTGAGGAAGTGCTCTGTGCAGCTGTTTCATTGAGTAGTATGTTATGAAATATTAAACAGTAGAGCTGGTGTTTTTGGTCCTTTAGCTGAGGCAGTGTATTGCTGCGAAAGTGCAAGAGACGGTAATGTTTGCAAGTGTGACGTGTGCGTGCCTACCTCTGCATCTGAGCCCCATGGCATTTTCTTCTGTATTATTGTGTTTTTGGGCTTGTTCAAGTATGTTTCAGCTTTTTAAAATATAAAAATATAATATAAAAAATCTAAAATATATCTTGCAGGAGATGATCTTCACTCTAAAAAATGCTGGGTTAAAAAAGGGACAAACCCAGGGGTTGGGTTCAAAACAACCCAATAGCTGGGTCAAAACAACCCAATAGCTGGGTTTGTCCCTGTATAACCCAGCGCTGGGTTATATTTAACCCAGCATTTTTTAGAGTGTTGTAATCAAATTAGAAAAGCAGTCTTTATAATTGTATTCCTAGTCATGGTGCAGTTTCAGTCACATTTTTAATCTTAATGTTAACTGAATATTTTGCATCTGTAATTTCAATCAGGCTTGTTTGTGTGGGAAGGAATAGATGACCTATGAAAACAGACAGACCTGACCAGTGAAGGTGACCTTTCTCTCAATTACACGTTTGTTCTCCATTTATGTGAAACACTCCATCGCTCTTTCTCCTGTGTGTCCAGCCTCTCGTGTTTATTGGAGTGTGGGTAGTCTGTTGCCTTGGAAACCCCTCTGTGCTCCCGTCATGACTCTAGTGTGTGTGTGTGTGTGTGTGTGTGTGTGTTGGGAGAGAGTGAGAGCTGGTAGCAGGTATCAGGAGCACCTTTTCTTTTCACCTGTACTTGCACTGGGGCCTTTAATCACATGTTGCATTCTGCATTATACAACAGTTTTCAATGGCCAAACGGCATTTGAAGAACACTGATGTAACAATGCAGCATCAGATGTTTCTTCACTTTTTGTGTCACTAATCTTCTCTGTGCTTGGATGTTCCAGGCCAGTGTTGTTATTAACTAGAATTAAAACTATTAAAATATTTTTGTTAATTGAAATAAAGCTGAAATATATCAATATTAGTTGAAAAAAACTAAATAAGTACTTAAATTACTAACATTAAAACTAAAATAAAATAAAGATAAATAGAAATATAAAAAAAACTAATAAAAATTATGAAAGCATATTACTAAAACTAAAATGGATACTGGTAAGAAGTAAATTCTAAATATTAATAAGTACTATAATGGTATCTAAATAAAATTAAAATAACACTCTTCCAGACAGATTTTCAGTCCGTACGTTAGTTATGAGTATTTCTAAGTGACTTTTTCCAACTAAGCTAATCAGTATTAATAATATACTATTTTGAGCTGTCTTGATGGTATTTAAGATCAGGTGGTGTTTACAGCTCCTGGGTAAATTGATAGTCACGTAAGGTTTTCTCCGTAAGAAAGCTTTCCAAAGTGAAGCTGTCTGGTTGGGGAGAAACTGACAATTCTGTCTTCTGATAGGTTATCGTTTTCCCAGAAGAACTCAAGCAGCTTGTCTCACAGACAGAAACAGACATGGTTAGGAGGCACATCCCTTGCTGGATTACAAGCAGATTCTGTGCCCAGAAAAGCAAAGATCAGATTGTTCTTACACTCAAAACTTACATAGAAGGTTGAGAACATCCATGCAAGTTCATTTTAAGACACTTTAAGATGCTTCACCTCATCTCTGTAGAAGAGAAGACCAAAGAGTTGTATTGATTTGTCTGAGGACAGATCAGTCTTCCTCTTAATCTCTTCCTGGAACTGAAAGGGTTAATGGATGTCTGAGTGTTTCTATGACAACACAGATGAGACTGATGATCACAACCATTTGGAAGAGGCTCTCAATTCAGAATCCAAAAATAACCACACACAAAACAAGCCTAAAGAGATGGCAAGGGAGGAAGAGGAGGTCAATTATTGATAGAGAAAATTCTGCCCAGACATCCAAACCACCCCAGTCAGATAACCTCTGCACACCGACTCCAACTCAGATGCAAGTTTCATACTAAAATAGACCATGATGGTTATCTGCATACAGCTTGGCATTTACTTACAGATGCATTAAAAGTTTCTCTCTAAAAGTTGTGCAAAATTTTAAATAATTACCAGCCTTGGACAAATACTGCCTGGTTTGCTAAATTTACCCTTATAAAATGTGTTTTTATTTACAAATAAATACATATTCTTTATTTTTGTGGAGAAAGTGGGTGAGGTCAGCAAAGCAAATGACCTCTAGACGGGACTCAAACTCCTATCGCTGCAAGCACAGTTACGTTATATGTTGGCAAAATACAATAAATAAATAATCAGGCCTTCATATGGGTTCTTTAGATGAGATTATAATACTTAAATATAAAAATAGCAACTAAAAGTGATCATAATGCCAGATGAAATATAGCTAATTTAAATTTGGATCATTTTGTAAAAATGTTTTACATAACTATGTATTTTAAGGTTAAGAGTGATTCATATACTGGGTTCTTTCTTTCATGTGTTTGTTTGAGCATTTGTTCAAAATAATGGCAAGAAGTTAGAGTCTAAAGTGCTTGTTTCCATTGATTTTGTGTGTTGGGATCATTGTCCTTTTTTGTAGTTGGCTGGTGGAGCATGTCCTTGCATTTGCTCTGTCAATTATTAACAATCATATAGAGAATAAATAGAGAGAGAGATGTGAGCAGTCAAACCCCATTATTTCAATTTACACCCAGAGAGGAAGAGGGATCAGAATTATTTAGTCATTTTTAATTGTCAGTGACATTTCTGTGATGTTATGGCTTTGGGAAGTGGGGTAGATGACCTCATACACATCATTAAACCTCAGTCCCCGGTTCCAGTTAACACTGAAAATGTTTTTGTTTCTATTTTAGGCAGGTATTGAATGCGAAATGAAAAGAAAAGACTGATGAGGTCCATTGAGCAGATACAAAGAGGATGGGAAATGATAGAATCGATGGAGATAGAGAGAGACTGATGGGAGACTGTTATTTCTAGCATGATGGCACATGCTTGTGTTTTTAACCAGAACAATGGGTGCATGGCAACAGCGGGTAACCATGGTGACTTTTAAGGTAGCCGAATGGGATTATGATAACATTGCCAATACTGTCAGGTTTACATCTGATGAAGCCCTTATTGGTATTTCAGACACACTCCATTTTTTCTTTGACACTCTGAAAAGACAAAGCTGATTTCCCAAATGTGTTTCTCTCGCTCTCCTTTTCATCGTTTCTCCTGTAAGTGCTCTGAATGGCTTCCGGTACTTACAGAAATCTAATGACATCCCAGTTGACATGCAGGAAATGCACAAGCACTTCTCTCAGAACAGAGTAAGACATAGAGATCCCAGTTTACAACAAATAATGCAATCATCAGTGTAGAGCACTGTCTCATAAATTGGACACGGTTATAATCATATAATCAGATTAAAAAAAAAAAGCAAAATATGAATTTAGCTTGATAATATCTCTGAATTACGTACATTGACATACAGGCTGTTTAGAGAGTATGGGAAGCGGTGTATTTAATTGCTTTTGAATGCAGATGCTTTCTAAAGGTCACTGTCATTAGGCAGAATGACTGCTGTTTGGTTATGAATTTTTTAAAAGCCCAGGAGAGCTGGTAGAAATTTAGGATCAAAACGATCACTGCTAATATTTGTTGCAATTCATATATGATCTTTGCTTAAAGCAGAATGAGTCTTAAAATCCTAACTAAACGGTGATTAAAAATGTAAGAAAATATGGAATAACACTACATTATCCCTCTTAATACATAGCTGCCTACCAAACAATCATTATGTAAAATTCATTTTTTAATCAGAATCAAATATTACAAAGAGTTGTATAATAATGTTATAGTCAGTATGATATTTCTGATATTTGCTGTACAGTTTAACCAAGGAACCACCAAAATGTCAAAATTGTATATAATTGTTTTTGGTCTGTCCAATTTTGAATGTCACAAGGACCCAGAATTACCTAATATATTTATTGTATTGTTCGTGGAATGTTGTATGCAGGCCCGGCGCCAGGGGCTTTGC